GGATGCATGGCTCAAGTGGTAGAGTGCCTAACTAGCAAGTGCAAGATCCTGAGTTTAACCTCCAATACTACAAAAAACAAACAAATGAAAAACCCAACCAAAATGGCTCAAGTGGTAGAGTTCCTGCCTAGCAAGTGTGAGGCCCTAAATTCAAACCCCACCACTGCCAAAAACAAAAACAAAAAACAAAACAACAAAACCCTGCCCCTGAGTAGAATTCAACCCATTGTAAAAAGATATTTTTGAGACAGCTGGGAAAATTTGAATATGGACCAGTAAAAGATGGTATTAAGGGGCTGTTATTTGCATAGGGTGTGATGATTATTATTTCTTAAAAAATAGACATATTGTTAAAACACATAAAAGGCTGGATGTGGTCGTGCAGACATGTAATCCCAGTACTTAAGAGACTAACACAGAAGGATCGTGAGTTCTAGGTCAGCCTGGGCTATATAGCGAGATACTCTCTCAACAAACCAAAAGAAAATAATTATTAAAAAATCCAAAAGAACCAAAATGAAACCTGTATTTACTAATGTTTAAAAAAAAATAGAAAAGCATACCTGGTTCCATCCCGGGTTTGGATGAAAGATGAGCACTGATAGTTTAAAAAACAGAACAAAAAACTCACCAAACAAAAAACTCACATCAGAATACTACTTATAACCTGAATACAACAAATATGCAGATATACTCATTTTTAAATAAAGATTCCCATCCCAAATCAGAAGAGATGGCACAAATGAGGGATGCAAGAACCCCTTGTACACATCCATTCCAACATCCAACCCAATGTGTAGTAATTTGATTGGTTTCCTCCAGTAGACCACAAGCCCCTGGGAACCAAATAGTGCCTGAAGCAGAGTGTACCACCTTAAGCATTTATTTGGGGGAAACCACTTGGAGGAGGGACTAGTAACCCAGAAACCTACAAGAAAAATCAGTGTAGGATTTTCCTTGGACAGGCCCAGTTTTACTACTGCAAGTCCTGCATCCTAGGGTTGGTCATCATCCATCAGTATCCCTGTCCTGGGTGGCTTAGGTGTCTGTGTTCTCCCCTGCAGTTGGCCTAAATTCACAGATTCTCTGAAACACAAGAGATAAGAAGCAAGCTGTGTCCTGCCTTCAGGCTTCTTCAGCAAATGGTTTTCTTTACATTTCCTCCCCTCGCAGCACTGAAAGTCCTCTCAGATGCCTAGAGAGAGAAGGAATGTGCTGGATGTTACATGCCAGGATATGGCAGAGCTGAAAAGATGTTCTGCTTTCTGCCCTGGGGCTCTTTTTTACCTGCACTGGCTGAGTCTCTTAAAAGAGAAGCTTTGAATCTGGACCCATAGTTCTAGGCATAGAAATTCAGCTTCCTTCTCATACCATTATGTCATGGCCCATGGAGAAACACCCTTTCACTCTATGACTTTAAAATAGACAAACTGGTATGCAAGCTGGGCCTATGCTCCCTTTATTCCAGTAGTCTAGAATCTAAGCTTTTGGAGGGTTTCTGCATTGATTCATGGAACTGGATGGAACACATAATAGATCTTTTCTGTTTATTCCTTTTTTAGGGAGAAGTGTACAGCTGTGTTTTAAGCAGCCTGACATGCAAAATGAAGACAGCATACTTTCACATTGCATAAAGTTTTCTGGGATTTTTTTCCTTCTGTACTGGAGACTGAACTCAGGGCTGCAAGCTTATGTTCTATCACTTAAGCAATGTCCCCAGTCTTTTTGCTTTGTTTTTCAGATAGGGTCTTGTGTTAACTTTGCCAGAACTAGTCTTTAACTTCAATCCTCCTAGTTCCTGCTCCTGGTTCATTTTTGGGATTTTGACTAAAAGTTGACTCTGGTAGGTCCTGATTCCATTTGCTTCAGAACTTCAAGAAGTCACAAGAAGCCTAAAGGCAAGCATGTGTTCAGTGGAAGCAGTAACACGTATAAACTGATTTATTGAGTGATTTGTGTGTTAACTTTTGCATACTTTTCAAACACCAGGTAAAATGGGAATTATTGCCCTGATTTTACTGTTAAGGATCTAAGGCTTAGTAACTGGGATTCAGCAAGTTTTGCAAGCCCACACAACATGTAAGCAACCTTGTTCGGATTTGAAGGAAAGGTTGCTTGTGAACTGGTTTGGGAGAGGCCTACATATGCTGACTGCCTCCACTCTCATCTCTATTGTAAGAGGGCCCTGTGGACTTGAAGGAGTCAGGGTGGCAAAAGCAACCCCAGGTCATCCTTTTTAGCTTTTGAGTCCCTGTAGCAGGTATCAGTTGGTTAAGGAATTCAACATATGGGACAATCTGATGTCTACAGAATGGAACACAGCTGGTGCATAGGTACAGGTCCCCAGGAAGTAAGGCTAGACAGTTGTTTGTCACTATGACAAATACCTGATAGAAACAATTTATTGAAAAGATTGATTTCTGGCTCATGGTTTCAGAGGGTTTAGTCTGTGGTCAGTGGGCTCCATTGTTTCTGGGCCCCATCAAAGGATTAATTCATTGCTTAGGTCAGACTCCTCATAAGCAAATCACTCCAATGACTGGATCCACCAGCTAGGAATCAAACTTTCAACACCCAAGCCTTTTGGGGAGGTATTTCATATCCAAACCACAAGGAAGAAGCAAGGATTCAAAGAAGGAGATATTGGAGGATGGGTCTGTCTGACCACAGCATCACAGGTAGGATCACAGGAATGGAACCTGTGCAGCAGGGGAAGGTCAGCTCCCCATGCTGTAATTGATTCCCCTCATTCTCCAGTGGGAATCCCAAGATAGGGGCTAAAAGTGAGGGGGAACAGGTCAGCCCCAAAAGACTCTTTCCCAAAGACTCTTTCCTTGAGAAAGTAGGTAGGTTAGTTCATTCTGGGCTTCCAGGGACTGCCTTCCTGATCACACCACAAAGAAATGCTCTGTTACTGAAGGTTTCACATCTGTACACCAAGCAGGGAAAAGACTCATGCTTGCCAGGTCTGTCCTTTTGCATCAAGATCCAGCAACTTTATTAAGCAGGCTTCCACCTGCATCTCTTAACTCTCCAGAGTGGAGTCATATGACCATCTTTAGCTGGGAGGTATTTATAATAAGGCACATTACCATCTCCTTTACCCAAAGTGGGGTTCTGCTAATGAGGAAGCTACAATAAGGGGTCTCATGGTTTTGGGGGTTTTTGTTTTTGGCAGTACTGGGTTTTGAAGTCAGGGCCT